CTAAGCCAGCCCGGCCTCACGCCACGCCATAACACGGTGTAACAAGGGGACTATGTCGGCTTGGAAGGGTAACTTCTATTATGCGTATAATAATCTTTCAAGGGGCTTAAGAGGTGCTTGAGGAAGCAGAATCTCGAGGATCCCTCTCAAGAGGTCGGCTTTCTATATAGGCCTCCCTGTGGTCCGTTCAGAGGTACGTAGCTACAAGGTACATGACCTGCGGCTAACGCGACCTCGCTGGAAATGCAAGTCCCTCACTCTCATGCAGCCTTCGGTCTGTTGTCACGGCGGTTAGACAAAGAGAGACCCCTCCCATCTCTGCTAAAAAGCCAGAACAATCAGGACTAGCTGCAGTGCACGTCAGGGCACGCCACGCCGTAACATCTGTTAGGCCTTGGCACATTCAGGCATCAATTCCTTCTTGGCCAACGGCGATCCTCCCTCGACCTACATCGGTCTCGGGGGTAGTCCTCGTGCGACACTTATTGCGCAGCTACGAATCAATGCGACAGCCATAGCAGTCCGGACGGGGTTTAAACGTGGCCATTTTAGAAATAAAAAGAGAACTGGAAAAAAGGAAAGGAAATGGCAAAAAGGAAAGGGAATTAGAAATCATGCAAGCAGACTGGACTTCGAATGTCTTGCTGCTTTGGATTTGCATGCCACTGTCGCCGTGGAGAGCTATCTTGCACGGCAAATAAATGTGCACCGCTGGATGCTCAGCTTCCATTGAGAACGATCGTCCCTTTGGGAGAGGGTAGTACTCAACAGGGATCGCCGCTGTCTGGCCGGCTGGCATGATCACTGCAGCTTTACTCCACACTCGTCGATGAACTGGGACTCCCGCCTTTACCGTGACGATCGGCACGTTAAAGTTCTCCTGTGGGAAGGTGATCAAGTCGGCTCCCAGGTCGAGCGTCGCCTCTCGTGACTTGTAGAAAGCGACTCCAAGGATCATGCCCGCGCCCAGAGTCTCTACGAGCCAGGCGTACGCCGTTTGTTGAAGAATTCCGGGTCGGCCGTTGAGAAAAAAGCCCGGAGTGAAGAAGGTCATTTCGGCGAACCTGGTGACCTTTCTCGGGCAAGGGGAGTTCCATCCGCTCAAGATCGGCTGAGCCTCCGGGTTCGTCACGTCATAGATTTTATGCTTGAACCCGTTCTTCTCAAGGAACTCTAAGGTTGTCAGGTCTCGTCCGGAGCCGGAGTCGGCGCAAATCTGCACCTTTTGGCTGTTGATTGAAGGCCGGATATTCATTTTGGCGTAGGAGTAGCCTCCGAGGGCTGTCGTCTCCGCTGAGGCTTTGGGTCCCTCTTTAATCACGTCGGACTCGTTATATTGGCGAACCGAGTCATCCTCCGTCGTTTGGTAGACAGGGGCTCCAGGACAAGACGCGAGGTGCGCGAAAAGGAGGTTGCGCGATGGGGTCGTCACTCCGCAGGTTTTGCAAGTGTGACTCGGTGTAGTGATCCGCGACGTTGTAGGCGTCGTCGTCCGAGAGCGAGGCACCTCCGTCACTCTCGTAGGGTTTATCACCCGAGTCGTCTCCGTCGCTCTCCCGTGCGTCGGACTCGATGTTGTGGACGCGGTCTCGACCGCGGTCTCCATCGCGGTCTCGGTCGCGGTCTCCATCGTGGGGCTTATAATCTTTGCCGCGGTCATTTCGTCGGTCGCGGCGATCGTCTCGCTTGTAGTCCTTGCCGCGGTCGTCTCGCTTGTAGGAGCGGTCCTTCTCGCGGTGTCCGTCGCGGTCCCTGTCGCGATCCTTGTCGCGATGCTTGCTCCGGTACCTATCGCGATCCTTATCGCGATCCTTGTCACGGGAGCGACTATCCTTATAGCCGCGAGAACTGTGCTTGCCTCGAAAGCTCTCGTACTTGCGAGAGTCGTCCTTGTCGTTCTTGTTGTCCTTTTTGTCTCGAAGGTCATGCTTTCGCGGAACGACGTCTGGATACCGCTTGCGTGCCACGGCGACGAGAACGCTGTTGTTTTCCTCGATGTATCGCAGGTACTCAGTGCGAGTCTCGTCACGTTGGGGAGCACGCAGCCGGGTCTGAATGTCGAGTCCCAGCCGGACTGGGTTCTAGTTTTCGACCATGGCCGTAACAAATTACACAATACAAAATTCTGCTGGCAGAATTCTTTGGACACGCTCATTACATAACACAAAATCCTGCCGGCAGAATTCTTTGGACAAGCCTGATTACATAACGCAAAATTCTGCTGGCAGAATCTTTCGCACGCATTGAATTACACAAAATAATTCTGCCGGCAGAATCTTTCGCACGCATTGAATTACACAAAATAATTCTGCCGGCAGAATTCTTTGGACACGCTTAATTACGTAACGCAAAATTCTGCCGGCAGAATCATTTGCACGCATTGAATTACACAAAATAATTCCGCCGGCAGAATTCCAATGTAACACTTGTTATGGTGCAATGTGCGCTTTGCCTGTTACAAACAAGCGTCTGCTCCCATCCATGCTAATGGCGGCTGTACGCACAGCACAGGTGTAACGATTGGGATGAACCTTCCCCACTACGCCACACGCCCACAAAAGGGTACGATGCCAAGTCACGACGTGTGGCTTGACATTAAGGTTCATATAGGCGCGTGCGACGTCGACCCCAGCCGACCGTCACAACAGGCACCACCAAGCAGTATAACGCTGCAGGTGCTAACCGGCCTGGACACGCGGTAGAATTCCTGGGTCGGCAGCGACTGTCGCCGGCGCTACCTGGACCCAGCCTTGCCGCGCCGATAAGCCTGCTCGGCCTTATGTCTCGATTTTCGCGATTTTCCCATTTGAGTCGACCAAAAGCTTGCCGCTTTCGTCGCGCGTTATGTCGACCTGGTCGATATGGTCCTCCCAGCTTCCATGCCGCCGGCTTACGCTCCTTGGGCTCCTCCGAGCTGGCCGCGTTGCTCCCGTTGAGACGCGCGTCTTGGCCGAGGACGCTTCGCCGGTCGCCGGTCGGCCGCGCTTCTTCAGCTTGATTGCCTTTTGCGTCTTGGCGTACAACGTTTTAACGCCTCTATTTTAGTGAGGTTCTCGCCACAGCCTCCGCACGTCCGCGGGCCCGGAGCGAGACGATGGAACCGGGCTACGGACGCTAGCCTTTACCTCAAAGCCATACGAGGCAGCACACTGCTTCCCCATGCTACATTCCCATGCAGCAAACTCGTTTTCTTATCTTGCGTCTGGTCTTGGGGACTAAGCGCGGCAGCCTCTCCGCCTGGCCTTCACTTTACTCCGGCACATTGCCGGCCGACTGCTTTCTCTACCACCAACAGCTGCGCTCACAGCGCCCCGGCGTTTACTCGCCCTACAGCCGATCGCCCGCTCACTATCAAGGAGCGCCGGAATGCGGCTCGAACTCCGTGTGCCTTGGGCTTGCCCCATGGTTTGCTTTGTTAGCCGCCTCGATAGCAACATATAGCCTAGTGTTAAGCTTAGGTAGCGCTAGCGCGTCATATGCCCCCAGGGAGGCAGGGAATGGTAGATCCCGACTGAATGACGTTAAATATACTCCTCCTCCTCCTCCTCCTCTGGTCCTACGTACGGAAGGACCCAAGGCTGCAGCCAGTAGCGGACCGGCCAGCGGGCAATACGCGAGATATCCTTTGGATCACTGTCTCCGGGTGCACATTCGTCAACGTATACAGGCCCCCAGGGGACTCCTTGGAGCCCTCTTTGGACTTGCTATTACGCTGGCGCCCAACAACGGAATGCATCGTGGCTGGGGACTTTAACGCCTCGTCCTCAACATAGGACCCGGCCCGGGGTAACAGGAATAGGGGCAAAGAGATAGCCCAATGGGCTGACACTTGCAACCTCTTTTTACTTACGTACCCAGGTAGGCCCACGCACGATCAAGGGGGTGTGCTGGACCTTACCTTTACCAACGCCTCGTTAGCAACAGCGGAAATCGACCCCATGCTAGCAACAAACTCAGACCACCGCACAATACGGATCGAGGTTCCCTATCCCAATTACGCTATTCCGGATTGCAGGCGCATTACGCTCCCAGACGACAAACTTCCAATGTTTGCCAACGTGGTAGCAACCGGGGCCAGCAGCCTGCCGCCACTTGCGGGCTACAGGGCCGGCAGCGTACCGCCACCTACAAGCTCGCACACTACAAACTACCTGGACACAGCAGCTAAAGCATTAATTAGCCTGCTAAAAAGCGCGCTGGAAACTTTCGGCAAAAGGCCTAAAGCCAAAAGTACAGGCCAACCGTGGTGGAACGACAAATGCGCTACCGCACAGAGGGACCTAACCAAAGCCATTGCGGGCGGGGGCCCCTTTACAGCCGAAGCCCACGCTCTGCAAGCAGCGGTTCGGGCAGCCAAAAGACAGCATTGGGCCAATGTGTTGGAGGAAGCTGACTCCCCGGAAGCGCTATACCGCGCGGTGAAGTGGCACAAACTTACACCCGCTATACGACTTCCCTCGCTAAATATCGATGGAGAGGTTATTGTAGCGCCAAAAGACAAAGCGGAAGCACTGGGCCGGAAAATCCTCCGCAGGTTCACAGCGGAAGACGACTTACAGGAGGACCCGTTACACCAGGGGGCCCCTCAGGGCATCACTCAACTCCCGTGGGATCCCCATGTCCCTTTGGAAGAGTGCCGGAAGCACACCATTGGCACGGCAAACACGGCCCCAGGCATCGACTCCCTATCAGTTAGGCTGCTTACAGCGACATGGCCGGCAATAGGGGAAGACATTAGGGCCTTGCTCGAAGCATGCCTTAGGGTTGGGCACCACCCAAGTCCTTTTCGTACAGCGGAGGTGGTTATGCTCAAAAAGCCAAACAAATCAGATATGACCGATCCAAAGTCATACCGCCCGATAGCGCTGCTTTCGTGCTTAGGAAAAGGGCTGGAACGTTTAGTGGCCTCGCGGATGGCTTCCCTCGCCCTACAGCACGGGCTAATAGCCCCGCAACATGCCGGGGCGACCCCTAAAAAGGCCGCCACCGACTTAACGGCGTGCGTAGCCCACGAGGTGGAGCGAGCCCTCCAAAATCACAAAGCGGCCGCCCTTGTCGCCATGGATGTCCAAGGGGCTTTCGACGCCGTGCTCCGCCGGAGGCTCCTTCAAAGGCTGCTAAACCAAGGATGGGACCCAACGTTAGTACGATGGGTATCATCTTTTGCAAGCAACAGGCTAGTGCACGTGCGTTTGGAGGACGCCACGGCCGCCCCCTTCTCCCCGGACTGCGGGCTACCCCAAGGATCACCGGCCTCACCGGTCCTATTCATGCTATATATGGCCGAAATCCTACCTAAAGCCAAAGGCGTAAGGTATGGATATGCGGACGACATTGGCATATGCGTCACGGGCAACTCCCCAGAGGAATGCTCCCGCAAAGCAGGGGCAACGGTAACGGAAATCCTCCGTTGGGGTAGGGCTAATAAGGTCGCTTTCGACCCGGGAAAATGCGAGCTTATGCACTTTTCCAGGCAAAGGGATCCCACAACCCCGCCGGTCACAGCGGAGGGCCTCACCATACAACAAGCTAAGGGAAGCCCTGGAAACCCTGCAACTCTACGGTGGCTGGGCGTCTTTTTCGACCAAAGGCTTAACTTCGGGCCACATATCAACAACAGGGTTGCCAAAGCCCTCAGCGTTGCAAACCACCTTCGGAGGCTTACCCACTCGGTAGGAGGGATACCGGCGCACTCAGTACACAAAGCCGTCACGACGGTAGTTATCCCAACAGCGCTGTACGGGGCCGAGGTGTGGTACAAAGGCAAAACTAAACCACACCCATATAAGCCTGCACAACAACAACATACCCGCCAAGGCCACCTGATCGAGCGGGCTAACAAAGCCTTAGTTACGGCCCATCGGGCAGTGGTACCAGCATGGAAAACCATACCGATAAATGCGTTGCACTATGAGTCCGGCATCCCTGGCGCCGAGGCGCTTCTGGAACAAGTCCGCCTCCGTTTTGCAGCTCGCATTAACGCGGTCCCAGAAGTCCACCCCCTAACCGCAGCAGCCAAGCCGACGCTGAACACCCGGGGGCCTAGGGCGGGCCTGCCTAGCAAACAAACGACCTGCCTGCAAAGAACAGCCAAGCTTGTCCCAGCCTGCACTCGCCTAGCCTACCTCCCGCATAAATATACGGGGCTTACAGTGGCCACACAAGAAAAACAAGCAGCCGCCAAAGCATTTATGACGTGGCTTAACGCCCTCTCCCCTACGGACGTTATAGTCTACAGCGACGGATCTAAAGCGGAAGACGAAGCAGTTGGCTACGGCTGGGTTATACACCAAGCCGGCCAACGCAAACTGTCCGGGCACGGCAGACTGGCGCACCCCGCCGAAGTATTCGATGGTGAAGCGGAAGGGGCCCGGATGGGCCTTCGCAAAACCGTCTGGAACTTCCCTAACTGCACATACTATCTATGCCTCGGCAACACATCGGCGGCCAACGGCTTTTTAAGCACGGCCCCTGATAGCTCGCAAGGGGCCTTTAAGGAGGTTTATTGCTTTATGGATAAGCACCAAGTACACGTCCGTTGGTCCCCAGGCCATACGGGAATCCCCGGAAACGAGGAGGCCGACGCCGAAGCGAAGCTAGCCACGGCCCTTCCGGTACCCCAATACACCAAACCAACAGTAGCCGGCATTAAAGCACTGGCCCGAAAAATGTCCCGGGACGCTCGGAACGCTTGGTTCGAAAATAACCTCCCAGAACGATACAAAGATATAGGCCTCCCGCCGATACCACAACGCACACCCGACGCCTTACAGCTACACCGGAAAGTACTGCAGCGGTTGATAGCCGCACGCACAGGCCACGGGGACTTTAACAGGTACCACCGAAGATTTAAGCACGAGGACGATAATCCGTGCCGCTGTGGGAAAAACAAGTCTCCGTCCCACCCCGCATTTTGCAGGTTGGCTAGGGCTACGGAAAACAAGTGGCCGAAAGCGGACCCCTCCCCGGCCCTTGACAGGCCCGGGTATTGGAAACGGCTGCTGGAAAAGCCTACCCTCTTTGCCTCGTTCGTTGAGGTCACCAACTACTACACTATCGCTGGACGATAACAATAAGGCTCCAAAAGCCTGTATACAACCTTTCTCCCTTTTCTCCTACACTTCCTACCTTTTCCTTCGTACTACCAGGACCAACAGTAGGCACGTTGGCCCCCACGATCCCCGGCCGGGCCTAGAGGCGGTCCCAAGGACCCCCGGCCTGGCCTCGCCCCCTTTTCCGGCACACTTGCCGGCCCAACGCAATACTACCACCCGCAGCGCTCACAACGCCCCGGCGTACATGTACGCCCTACAGCCGATCGCCCGCTCACTATCAAGGAGCGCCGGAATACGGCCCGACCTCCGTGTGCCTTCGGGTTTAACTCTGCTAGCCGCCGGATAGCAATATGTAGCCTAACGTTTAGCTTAGGTAGCGCTAGCACGTCGTATGCCCCTCGGGAGGCAGGGACTGGTAGATCCCGACTTAACGACGTTAAATATGCTCCTCCTCGTCCTCCTTCCGCATCGCGTGCCCGGCGCTCCGCGCCTCTCTCCCTTTCCCTCCCCATAGAAGAGTCTTTCGTCCATAGCATCAATTGAGCCTGGCCGCGAATCCTACTCTTCCCGATCGTGACAGTTCCCATGCAGCAAACTCGTTTTCTTATCTTGCGTCTGGTCTTGGGGATGCACATTTCTATGGCGCGCTAGTCACAGATATACGGTTCATTGCGTACGAATACCTTAATTAATAAGTCAGAGTACCCCCTGTCGGCCACCCCCCCAGACGGCCACCTAGATCCCCATACAAACAGGCAAAAACTCACTATTTTCACAACGCAATTAAAAAATTTGAAAAAATCGTAGAAAGGCGGAGTAAGTTGAATTATATAATCTAAAAGCTAAATTTTACAAATAAGATAATTTAATAATAAAATGTAGCGTTTAAAATGTTAAATTTACAAAATAAGCTTTTACATATAAATTACATATAAATGAAAAATTGAAATAACTTTTTAATTAATAACTTAATTTAAATAATACTAATTTACATATATGAAATACCCTTATGCATTTATGTTTTTAAAACCTTGGAATTTATAACATTTTATTTTAATTTTATATAATAAAAAATGCATTGTACTGTATAATACACTGTGTAAGTTGTCCATATTAGCTTAAGTAGTTATATTACATAATATATAATGTTATGTTGTAAAAGCCGGGATTTTTCCGATTTAAACGCGGGTTATTTTATTTTGATAGTTAATATATTAAAAA